CTAGCAGCTTCTCGGCTCTCTTCAGACTCTCTGATGTAAATAGACTCCACTCAGGCGCGGACCCGTGGAGGCACACATGTGACATTTCTCATATATGCGCGCGCACAGGCTTAATGGCCACAATGGCAATATGCTAGCGAGCACATGACAGCTTTTTCTTCCGCGCCGCCAAAGAGGCTGGGTGGAGGAAGGTACACACACACACGCGCGCGGGGGCGGTCGTGTCTTTACGTGCGCTGTGCGGGTCTTCCGGCGAAACGCGGACCGAAAGAACGAGACCTCCTACACACACACACACACACACACACACACACACACACACACACACACACACACACACACACAACGACCAAAGGGTGGAAGGACCAGGCACATGAAAGACATGTGCTTGTACGGTTATCGGTGTTTGTGTTTAGACACGTTTGTCATGGAGGGTGCTCGAGGGAGGGTGTTGTTATGCGAGATATGAATATGTCACTTGTGATATGACGTGCGGTGTGTCTCTCGTGTGTAGAGGAGCTTCCAGCTTCCACTTGCCTTGTTTGGTTTTTGTTAGTTACGTTTCTTCACCGCCAATTCAGTGGTTCTTTCCAAGAGCAAGACCTCCACACAGCTCTACGCGTAATAAACAGTACGTTCTACGTATTCAAGAAGGAGATGCGGTCGGCGAAGATGTCGAGCACGAGGTTGAGGTCGTCGGGGTTGACGCGGAAGAGGCGCGTCCAAAAGTCGTAGAGCAAGTACTGCCCGCCGATGGTGGCCCCAAAGAGCAAGCAGCGCGGCGCGAGCCCCGAGAAGAGCGCCGCGGGCTCGTTTGCGAGGATACTCCGCGCCGTTTCTATCAGCCCCGCCTCCTCGCCGCGCGCGCGCGCATCCGAGAGGCGAGTGACGAGCGTGTCGGCTGGCGTGGTGAGCAAGCCAGAGACGACGCCGGCGATGACGCCGGCGAGCAGCGCCGACGCGCCGCCGTACTCCTGCAGCGCGGGGAGCGAGGAGGAGATCGCGTCCGTGGTGGCGTCGAAGACGAAGAACTTTGCGAGCGTGAACGGCAGCTCGCGCAGCAGCATCGGCAGCAGCGCTGAGTAGAGCAGCGAGACGCCGCCCTCG